ACTCAAGCCTTTACTTCTATTTTGTTATAATTCATCCATCCAGGTAGATAAACAGGGAAACAGAGGAGGGAAGAAATGGACTGAGAAATGAACTCACGACTGAGTTACAGTATCTGTAATATTTGAAAAAGGCAGATTTTTAAAAAATCATTTCAAAAGAAAAAGCTACATGACTATTGCAAACTAGTACAATTAAACATTTTTATAAAATTAGTAGTACTGAATAAGTAGCCAAGATTTCTGAAAATAAATGCCTGGTAATAATTAATAAAAAGTTTTAGTTGAAGAAAGGATTCCATAAGCAATAAAGAAATTCTTTCTTTCTAAACAGAGAGGATTCTGTGCTAGTTTTCAACAAGGCAGTGTTGTTTCATAGTTTTTGTACTGGAAAAACCAGAACACTCTCAATTCTAACATTAGATAATCTTAAAGATTCATTAAAGCACTGCAATAAGATGCCATCCACCCAGCAGTTTGGAAACATAAGCTGCCAGACCTGTGAGCTTTAAGTTAAAATTACAAATAACCATAGCGTATTGCCACTAAAACTCTCAATAACGAGAAGATTCCACTGGTAAGTAGTTTCCAGGGTTTCCTGTTATCAGGAAATAGCAGAAATAATAGCAACAGCAGTAATAGCAATAGCAGCAGGGGCAGCAGTAACAGTAGTGGTGGTAGTAGCAGCAGCAGCAGCTAAAACAGCAATGGCAACAACTATGTGCATTTATTGAGTGTCTGCTATCTGTCAGGCCAGGGCAAAATAATTTAAATTAAATATTTAGCTAAATTATTTAAATTAATAATTTAACTAATTAATTTTTTTTGTTTTTTTGTTTTTTGAGATGGAGTCTCACTCTGTTACCAGGCTGGAGTGCAATGGTGCCATCTCGGTTAACCACAACCTGCACCTCCTGGGTTCAAGTGATTCTCATGCCTCAGCCTCCCAAGTAGCTGGGATTATGGACACATGTCACCACAAGCAGCTAATTTTTTAGTTGAGAAGGGGTTTCACCATGTTGGACAGAATGGTCTCAATCTCCTGACCTCGTGATCCACACGCCTGGCCTCCCAAACTGCTGGGATTACAGACGTGAGCCACCGTTCCCAGTCTAATTAATTTTTATACATTATCTCTATCTCTATTTTTCACAGCTACCCAGCAAGGAATTTATTACATATCTTTTACTGATGAGGAAGCTGAGGTCTGCAAGGTTAAGTAATTTACTCAAGAATGCAGAGTCAGTTAGATACAAAATTCGGATTTAAACATAAAATCATCTTATTTCAAAGCTGCACTCTTTTTACAACACCACATTTCACAGTGTTATGGATGAACAGATATTTTTCAGTGTGGATGATTAAAAACAATGATACTCTATATTTTAATAAAAAATGCAGAAAAGGAAATGTACAGTATCCTCTCCACATATGCAGATGATAGTAAACTTTTCCAGGTAGTCAAAAGTGACAAGAGTCGGGGTACAGAAGGAACTCAAAATCAGAGAGGTGAGATCAAAGTATCAGATGAACTATAATCTGGTCAAGTATATGGACGTATAATTTAGAGGGAAATAGTTTTACTATTTATAAAAGACAATTACGACTAAAATGAACCTAGGAGTATTCATAGACATTCCCTAAAAATACGTTTAGTGAACTCTATAAACCAGAAATCTAAAGGTATGACTAATATGTGCTGCAATGATAATTCTAAAGAAAGATATACTGGATTAAGAAAAAAAAAGTGAAAGAAAATGATTTGTGAAAATGGTATGGAAGGTGACAATGAAAAACAGGCTGGAGATTAGAATAAAATGAATAAAATGTAGGCAGAAATAAAATCATAAAGAATAGAAGACAGTAACTTTATGCTGGTATAGTGCTTCCTATGTGCCAAAGGCTTTCTAAGTACTACATGCATATACTAATGCCTTTAATTCCATCAACACCTCCTGAGTAGGTATTATACTTTTGTTATCTGTGTTTTACAAATGAGAAACTGGGCATAGAGGTCAGGTAACTTATCCAAAGCATACATACCTAGTAAGCAGCAGAGCAGGAACCCCAAACTAGGCAATCAACTGTGGAGCCTGTGCTCTCTAACCATTACACCATACTTTCCCTTTAAGGGTCCGAGAGAGTTAATGTAGAGCTGGGTATCAAATCTCCTAATCTTAGTATCAAGGAAGATCTCCTGAAGCCATCTAAGAAGGAAGTAAAACTTGACAAAATAAACTTCCTAGTAGATAAAATAGATAATAAAATACTGAAAATAGCAATGGTCTTAAGAAAAGTAGGTGAGTAGGTTGATAAACTAAGCATAGTTACAGATAGAAGCTAGAAACAAGTATAGGAGATTCTTATGCTTCTTTCTGAGTGAGAAATCATGGTAGGCAACCATATTTTCTAACAAAACTATCCCTTGCTTCTACATCGGGGCAGACTAGGCTATTAACTGGTCTGTCTCAGTTAGTATATTTTAGATTCTACAAACATAATAATGCGGATGCCATTTTTCTTGATATAATTTCTAAAAATATGAAAATGTATTTTGCAGCATCTAGTTATAAACTATACCTTACAGATGACTCATGAAATGAATAAAATGTCTAGGAGTCCTTCTTTAGACAATACTCTACAAAACTACTTTTTCTTTTCCAACTAAGAAAATCTGAAGAATGATAAATCTATATCAGCAGTCTACACACAGTTCTATGGAGATTAATGTCAAGAAGTTAATAAGTATTGAAGGAAAAAAATTCCCAGGTCAAGTAAATATGCTTTTAGACATTCACAGTTCACATATAGCATTAAAAAAATTCCTACTTCAAGAGTGAAACTCCATCTCAAAAAAAAAAATTCCTATATTACAGAATCTATTTTAACTTTAACTTTCATTTCCTAAACTTATTTGGCCATGGAAACTTTTCCCCCAGACCATTTATAAATTATGTACATTAGTTCTACAGTACAGAATTTGGGAAGCACTGGCCTAGTTACCTTCTTTTATAGAAATGCAAGAGAATTGCTTATACAAGACTACATGTAGAGAATTAAACATGCCTAGGAGTAATGTGGACATTTAATTTTCTCAAGGTCAAGAGTTCCTGTTCTGCTAGTTGGGAAAGGGTTATGTGGCATTATAAATTCACCTTCTCATATGAATAAATCATGACATTTAGGTAGAACCAATACTGAATAACAGAACCACAGAACTCTACAACAAGTCAGCACCCAGCCGGGCGCAGTGGCTCACGCCTGTAATCCCAGTACTTTGGGAGGCGGGCAGATCACGAGGTCAAGAGATTGAAAACGTGGTGAAACTCCGTCTCTACTAAAAAATACAAAAATTAGCTGGGCGTGGTGGCGCCCACCTGTGGTCCCAGCTACTCACGAGGCTCAGGCAGGAGAATTGCTTGAACCCGAGAGGCAGAGGTTGCAGTGAGCCGAGATCGCGCCGCTGCACTCCAGCCTGGCGCCTGGCAACAGAGCAAAACTTTGTCTCAAAAAAAAAAAAAAAAAAAAGAAAAGAAAAACAAAAAACTCAGCCCCCACATTTTACAAATAGGCTAACAGGGGCTCCAAAACACTTCTGCTCCCTTGGTCATCACATCACTGGCCACACCTTAGTTTGTTGATTACTTTTCATCTCCCTAATCTCTTACTGTATGATTCGCCGGAGCTCAGTCTGTGGATCTTGCCCTTTATACACATTGTTTAGTGACCTTTTTTTTTTTTTTTTGAGACAAGGTTTCACTCTGTCACCCAAGCTGGAGTGCAGTGGCATGATCATGGCTCACTGCAGCCTCCACCTCCCAGGCTCAAGTGATCCTCCTACCTCAGCTTCCCAAGCAGCTGACACTACAGACATGCACCACCTCTTTGTGATATAGTCCCATGACTTTTTAAAATTATTTTGGGGAGTGGGTCATTTGTAGACTCACATGCAACTGTAAGAAATAATATACAGAGATATCATGTTTACCCAGTTTCTCCCAATAATAACATCTTACAAAACTATAGTATATTATCACAACCAGGATACTGACTGCTCATACACCAATGTCATTCAGATTTCCCCAGTTTTATTTGTATTCATCCTCATGATGTTTTAAAACACTAAATGATACTTATAGCTTAGAACATTCCCTGAAACTCATAAAGGCAAATGACTACAACATCTCCACTTAGATATCTAATAGGTATCTCAAACTAAAACATGTCCCAAATCACAGTCCTCATCTTCCCTACCAATTCTACTCCTCCCATAGTCTTCTCACCACCATCTTTCCAGTTGCTCAGACTATTAACTATGGAGTTATCCTCAACATTCTTTCTCACATTTCACATCCAAACCTTCCACAAATTCAATATATATCTAAAATGAAACCACTTATCACCTACACTGCATCCTAGCCTAAACCTCCACCATGTCCTACCTGAATTACCACAATAGCTCCCTAATTGGTCTCCCTAATTCTGCACATGTTTTTCTAAAGTTATTCTCAAGAAAGCAGCTAGAGTGATACAGGCAACCCTCTATATTTTGTTTATTCTGTCTTTTATTGAGTTCTCCTCTATTTAAAATCTTCTAGTGACTGCTCATCTCAGAGTAAAGCCAAATTCCACAGGACTATAAAGTCCTATACCACGTGGCCCAAACTACCTCACAGGTCCCACCTCCTACTATTCCCTCCCTTGCTTACTCCACTGCACCCAAACCAGTCTCCTTGAAGTTTCTTAAATCAGAAACGATCCCACTTCAGGGCTTTTGCACTAGCTATTCCCTCTCCCTGGAATGCTCTTTAGATATATATCCAAATGGTTCACTTCCTTTGCCAGCTTCATGTCATCACTCAAATGTCATCTCTCAGTGAGGCCTCACTAAATTAAAAATGGTAGCCTTCCAACTCCTACCCCATACTCCTTTATTCCCCTTCTCTGATTCATATTTCTCCCTAGAATTGATCATCATCTAACATATTATATGTTTTATTTAGTTTTTATTGTCTTTCACAACTGTAATGTAAATTCCATAAGACCAGAGATTTCAGTCTATATTTCTAACACCTAGGACACTGCCAGGCACAAAGTAGATGCTCAATAAATATTCCCTGAATAAAAAAGTGTTTTGCCAAAATGTGACAAAAATAGGGCAAGAATCTGAGCCTCTATAGTTTAATTATTTTCTTAAGAATGGTGATGGACTCACACTGAACCAATCACACCTTTTATTCAACAGTAGCCAAAAAACACATATGCATGAAATGGCTGACCAGATGAATAAAGCAGAATAACATGATGGTAAGGTGGGATTAGACTCAAGCTAAAACTCATTAGCACCAAAATGAAATTCAACTAATTGTCTACAATAAGCAAATTTTGTACTGACTGCCAAGTGTTTTATCTGAACCAATTTTTTTAAAAAATGAATTTACTAGTGACAGAACTTTAAGAGTTCATATTTTAAGAAAATGAATTTGATACATACTATAAAAAATAAAATTCTGTGTAAGACCACAAAGAAGTACAGTTGTTCCTTGGTATCGGTAGGGGATTGGTTACAGGACCTGCCCTCGTCCCACAAGTACCCCTACTTCCCCAAGCCCCCACCAAGAATAACAAAGTTCTCAGATGCTCAGGTCACTTATACAATGTAAATGCTATGTAAATGGTTGTTATATTGTATTTTTTCATTTGTATTTTTTTACTGTTCTATTGTTATTTCTCATTGTTTTTCCCCCAACAAAATATTTTCAATCCATGGTTGGCTGAATCTGCAGACATGAAACCCAAGGATATGGAGGGTTGACTGTACTCCCACATTACTATATTAAGAATGTGGTTTATCCTACTTTCGACCTATGACCAAGGTAAGGTGAATCTCTGTAAATGAATACAGAACTAATGTTTAAAACAGAAAAAGTTATTGTTTCTGGATAAACTTTTAAAAACTGGGTAGAAAGAGGGCAGACAGCAAAAATTCCTAGAGACAAATAAGGAAAAAAACAAAATAAAACTAGTATATCACTAAGTCCACTACTAAGAAACAAACCACTTGTGGAGATTTTGGAAAACCTTTCATTTGAGATATAAATTAGTTTGGAAATTTAGAACTAATAATTCTTCTGCTACTTAATTCTAAGAAACACATCATATAATATGTGGTCACTTAAACTGGCTTTAAAAATGTTCTAAAATGCAAATATAGAAGTTCTGATTTTACAGTAAAAATCTACCATTGAGTCATAATTTCAGAGCCTTCCTATCCTTATGCTATTAATATCACAAAAGGCATTTTGCTAGTCTTTTAAATTTAAGAAATTAGTAGAGTATAAATAGTAACCTTTTCATTGTACTGCAAGAAAAAAATGCAAGGTGTACTAAGTAGATACAGCACTCTGTCTGCAGCCCAGTAACAAGACTTCCATATAACAATTAGAGCAATGTTCCTGTTTATAGGATAAAATCTGTACATTTTATTCATTAGCAAATAATTCCTGAGGCACTTAAACAATATAATTTATTAAAAGAAAATAATAGTATCAAAAGTGTTTAGATCATTCAATGTAACTAAAATAAACACATGCCAAACTTAAAATATATAAAGGAAAGAAATACATGCATTACTGATTACCATCCATATTTTTTTTAATATGTTACCTTTACCCAAAGGAGCTACATTAATGGCTTAGTAGATATTACATCATACATGACAAATATGTAACCTTAAAACTGGCTCTAAAGGTCTGCAAGTAGTACTGCCAATTCTTTACACCTAAGAACTCACAACTGAGGTAATATTAAAAATAATCCCAATGGGACAGAATAATAATAATGTCTAATGGGCTAACAGCCAAATTCAAAATCTACAAATAGGCAGCTATACAAAATCTGTAGAGAATTCTATGAAATCTCTTAGAGTTCTTAAAACAAACACTAACAAATTTTAAATAAAAAAATATAAAAATAGACATCATAAAATAGACATTAATAAATTTTGAGAACATAAAACCAAGCTATTAAAATTAAATTAATTTAAAAAAATCAAAATGCAAGAATTGTTATCATTAAAAAAAATTACAGAATTAATACTGGTTAACAGATTTTATATGTCAGCAAAAATAAATGCAATTTTGGAACATAATTGTGGAGACCTGTTGTTCCAAGGATATGAAAATAGCCATGGTTTCCTAACAACTAGAGTTTTAATATTCCTTGGACTGTATTCATACTAGAGAAAGATTTAAGGGCAGCAGCCAAAATGACTAAACTTCAACTTGGATGTTGAAGCAGTGATTTGATGGGCTTTTCTTGGTCATAATTGCCTTATAAGCTTAAGATCATGAGCCAAAGCCCCCAGTGGGAAGTATGCTCAATTTGGCGGGCCTTAAAGCCATCTCTGGCCAAACAGCATCAGCCTTATGGGAGGCGGGCCATGTAGAAAGGGAGTCTCCCCAAGATCTGATTTCCTGAGGCCACAACCTAAGAGCAGGTCCCACAGTCAAATTATTCACACTCCTTGGAAAGAGAGAACAGGCATCAGTTGTGTCCATCGAAGGGGGACACTGTCCAGGTATACCCTGGACATATTTTGAAATCTCTGGGCTGCTTCTGCATCTGAAAAATAAGAAAAATAGCACAATGACAGACAACGAATGAGGAAAAAGACAATTATCTGGCCTAAAACTTAAGACGTATAAGAAATTAAGAAACCAGACAAACAGACAAAAAGACAAACAGCCATATCATTTGGAATCTAATATTCTGAAGGCAAGTACAGCAGAGAAAAACAAAAATTATTTTAAGCAAAGAAAAGACATAGCAACAAACGTTATTTTTAGACAGCGCAAACTGGAGAAAAAAAATACGTTAAGATATGTCAACCTGACACAAAGATAAGGTGGAATAGGAATCTAGTCCCATTTGAAAGCTGAAAAGAGCTGAATAAAGAGAGCTAGTGTCATGAACTTGGCTGCTTAACTGCCTTGTAAGAAAACATCTCAGAACTTTGAACTTAGGAAATTCCAACTTGTCTTGCACCAGGTCACGAGCTCCAAAGAGCAGGAACCTATTTCAACAAGCAGCTTTAAAAAAAAAAAAAACAAAATACTTTAATACTTTTCATTCATATTAATGATACATTTAAAAATGCAATAGTGCTAACATCTATCAAAGTAAAATGCACTGAATGAAAATTAAACTTACTCAGAAAGGTGCTCAGAAGTTGGGATACAAACAGAAACTGAAATTAGAAGAAAAGTTTTACATTTACAACAGCATATGAAATATGATGAGTGAGAATAATGATTTAGTAGAGACCATATTGTGTATGACCAAAAATACTGGAATAAATATCAAAAATCTAAAGTTGCACAGTTACATATACGTACCTTTCTGCATTACAACTTGGCAAGTATGAGTTTCATGTTGACTTAAGTGTGTAGCCATATTATCTAAGCCAGAAACATCACTTAGGAAATCACAATTAAGGCACACTAGAGTAATGCCCCTAGGAAAAAAAAAATATTAAAAAAAGATTTTTATCTTTTATGAGCATCCATATACAAATTTGATGATTATTTTTCCATAATTTGCTTTTTGTGTCATATATAACTATAACTTCCCATTTTTGTTATATAAATTTGATATAAACTGAAACTATTTTCTGGAAAATGACACAGCCATGCCCAAATTATGCTACTATTTATTTACAGAAAGTATTTATTTGATACTTTTACCTTCACACCAATTGTTAAAAGTTAGGAGTCAGAAGACCTAGAGTCAGTCTTGTCTCCATAATCAACTTGTGTAACTTAGGCAAATCACATTCTATTTGCCCTTCCACTCATCTGCAAAGTGTAGACAGCATATTCATTCACTTGATACTTACTGAAGCTGTTTTCATATATATTGTACTACTAGGTATGGTGAATATAATAGTGAACAAAAAAATAGTACTGTCTATGCAATAATGGAGCTTACTTACAATCTGGTGTTTATTTAGTTGGAGCTAAATTCAGTAGAAAAATGTGACGGCTTTAAAAATAGATCACGTTATAGCCACCATCAATTGTACATTACATATTAAGTGTTTTCCCATGTATTATTTCATCTGATTCTCACTATGGCCATCAAGGTTGGTATTATTCTCATTTAACATTGAACTAGCTAAAGTAGTTAATAAAATACTGAAATCTGCAAACTTGAGTTCCTCATCATTCTAGCACTGTGAACTAGTCTATCTGCTGGGGCTTAAAGTACTCATCAACAAAACTTCACTGAGTGCTCTAGTTCTTTTTTTTTTTTTTTTTTGAGAAAGAGTCTCGTTCTGTCACCCAGGCTGGAGTGCAATGGCGTGATCTCAGCTCACTGCAACCTCTGTCTCTCGGGTTCAAGCAATTCTCCTGTCTCAGCCTCCTGAGTAGCTGGGATTACAGGTGCACGCCACCACACCTGACTAATTTTTGTACTTTTAGTAGAGACGGGGTTTCACCATGTTGGTAAGGCTGGTCTCGAACTCCTGACCTTGTGATCCACCCACCTTGGCCTCCCAAACTGCTAAGGATTACAAGCATGAGCCACTGCGCCTCGCCTGAATGCTGTAGTTCTTAAATGAAATGTGTAATTAGTACCAATTTTTAAAGAAGTTAGGAAACAATTGCCTAGTTATCAATACTTTATTTTCGAATACAGGCATGGTTTTTGTACTCACTGGATTTAACTGTTAAGCATTTATTATTTGAAGTATTTGAACATACTTGACATAAAGTACATTAAGATTCTAATTTAAAATGCATTTAGACTTGTGATTTTTAGCTGAAAGGTGTTTTGAAATATTAAGCCTGTAAAACACTAAAATAGTTCAGAGAACTTAGCCACTATATGTTTAATTTCTTATAGTTATGAGTTAACCACTTGGGAGTTTGTTACACCAAGCATTTCAAGTGCTATTTAAAAGAAAATCAATTATGTTAAATGTATAAGTGATGCTTTTGCCTTAAGTAATCTGAATTGTAAACAGAAGTCTTGAAAAGTATTTAGTCTATTGAACTAGAATGCCCTGTGCCTCTTCTATCAGTAGAAACAATACCCATTCTTTAAAGTCAAGTAGGCCTAACACCTATCCAGACCACTATAAGAACAGTAATCTTTTTCCTCTCTCAAGTAACTCTCATTGCACTTATTAAAATTCATAGTTATTTATGTTCACACCTTAACTCCCACACAATAAAATGCTGTACACTCCCCTGAAGGTTGGTTCCAACAATGCTTCATCACTGTCATCTTTACAGGACCTGCTACTTTATGTGCAAGACAGATACATAATAAATAGTTACAGAATGAATAGTCCATTTCAATAAGAGTAATTACATAAATTATTGTCATATGGATTTATAAAGATGCTAAGCTCCATTCACAGAAATTAAACAATTTTCAATTTGAGACTACCCAAGTTGAGTGAGAAAACATCCGAGATCTTTAAAATCACATAGTTCGCTTAGAAACTAAACACACAACTGAACTTGACAACAAGGTAAAAATTGAATTAAAATCTCATTCTTAAAATGCAATAAAGCCATATTCGCTCTTGTAATTGGTTTTAGTAAAGGTAACATCTGATGTAGCTTAACTATTTCCCCAAATTCAGTAAATATTTCAAAAGTAGTACTAACATTTTTTAAATTGAATGAAATTTTCTCTCCCTGTGAGCTACTAGTCTAACATCACAGACAGGGCCTATTTTCCACATCATTTTCAATATACACATTAATTTATTCAACAAATATTTACTGAATGCCTACTATGTGCCAGGCATAGACCAAAAAACCAAACCACACACAATGTAGTGAGAGAACACAAACAATAAGCAACTAAAATAAAAGTATGTCAGATGATCTAGAGAAAAGTAAAACATAAAAAGGAGATAGGGAATGCTGGGATAAAGGATACAGTTTTTTTTGAATTTTGTAGTCAATAAAAGACTCACTCAATCAAAGGAGAGGCCTGAAAGAGACAAAAGAGCTAGCCATACAATATCTGGGGAAAAGCAAACTGGGCATAGGAAATAATAAATGCAAAGGTCCTGAGACATATCATCCCCTCTTCTACATTTTCCATTAATCCAAAGAATCAAAGTAAATATTGGCAAAACTTATCTCTACAGATCAGCTTGATGGAGCAAAGACATTGACATTTCAAGGAGCAATGGCAACATAAAATAAGGTTCAAGGAATCAGAGAAATATGAAATAATAATGCTCGGTGGATTCTAAGTTAATATGTGGTATAACCAAAGCTAACTATCAATGCCTCTAGAAAATTTTATAAACAGTCCTTTCTGTACAGTAATGAAATTGTATAATTCTCTTTATTTTCAAAAGAAAATATAAGAATTATAAAAATCACATACTGATTTCAAGAATTCCAGTGGTTAAAGGAAATTTACTTCAAAACTAAAAAAGTGTTGATTCCTATAATAGATAGCTTAGCTATCTTTTTAATATTCAAATATTGTTGGAGTGCCTTATTTTTGTTCTCATTTTACAATGTAAATGCATCAAGGTTTCCTCTGGACATCACCTTTCCACTGAAATAAATTCAGCAAGAGAACAATGCCTCATCACACTTCTGGTCTAAGAACACAATGAACACAACTCTCTAATGTCCAGTAGCAATCATTTATATTTTCAATTAGGTACCCTAACATCAGGTTTAAAAAAAGTTACAGTTACCACAATGAGATGCCACTTTATACCCATTAGGATGACTATAATCAAAAAGAGATAATAAAAAGTGTTGGCAAAGATATGGAGAAATTGGAACCCTCAAACGCTGCTGGTGGGAATGTAAAATAATGGAGCTACTGTGGAAACAGTCTGGTGGTTCCTCAAAGGCTCAACATGGAGTTATCACACAACCCAGAAATTCTAATCCTAAATATATACTAAAGAGAAATAAAAAGACATGACCATACAAAAACATGCACACAAACGTTTACAGTAGTTTTATTCATAAGAGCCTCAAAATGAAAACAATCTAAATAAATAAACTATGATACATCTTTACAATGGAATACTATGCTGCAATTTTTAACAATGAAATATTGATACATACTACAATACAGATGAATCTTGAAAACATTATGCTAAATGAAAGAAACCAGTCACAGAGGACTACATCATGTAACATTTTTTACATGAAATGCCCAGAATGGGCAAATATTACACAGACAGAAAGTAGACTAGTTGTTTAGGGATGGGGAAAGCCAGAAAAAAATGGGAATGCCCACTAATGGGTACAGGGTTTCTTTCTGGAGTGATAAAAATGCAGTAAAACTAACTGGTGATTGCTGCAGAACTCTGTGAATATACTAAAAATCTATAAACACATACATTGTATGGTATGTTAATTCTAACTCAATAAAGCTGTTGTGTAAAACATATTTAAGTCATTACAATTTTTCAATAGGAAGAGTAAAAAAAGATCAACTAGTTACCTGAGATTTTCTGAATGCTTCTTAAAAATACAAAATCTTTTGCTTGGACGGTTACTATGAAAGCTGGAGAAACAAAAGAGATTGTAATGATTTTATTATACAATAAGTCATATTAATTTATATTTCAAGTTCATACTTAAATTTGTAGTTTTTAAGAAAAGATTATACTGTAAATAATAAAATGCCTGTCATTTCCATTTAATTCAACATTTTATCTTACATTCCATTTTACCTATTATATTCTAATGACACTATTTTCCCAGGCATATTTTTAGATAATTAGCACTGTACCTTAGTATTATGTTAAAAAAGGAAATTAAAAATGTAATACATTTTTACATTAAAAAAATGTAATACATTTTTACATTAAAAAAATGTAAAGAGTGGCCGGGCATGGTGGCTCACGCCTATAATCCCAGCACTTTGGGAGGCTGAGGCGGGTGGATCACAAGGTCAGGAGTTAAAGACTTGCCTGACCAATATGGTGAAACCCTGTCTCTACTAAAAACATAAAAATTAGCTGGGAGTGGTGGTGTGCCCTTACAGTCCCAGCTACTCAGGAGGCTGAGGAAGAAGAATCGCTTGAACACAGGAGGCAGAGGTTACAGTGAGTCAAGATCATGCCACCGCACTCCAGCCTGGGTGACAGAGTGAGGCATGGTCTCAAAAACAAAAACAAAAAAAGAAAGAAAATGCAAAGAGCATCAAATTCAGTATTTTAATTTATGAAGAGTTAATTCTAAATTTCTGTTAATAACACATTTGTGCTATAACACGAACAGTTATCAACAATAATTCTTTTTTATTACTCTCCAATCTTAACATGTTTGTGTAGGGGATGGGGGAAGGATCTAAATGATCTGGGAAGTAAACAGTACTTGAGCTAAATGCCACTGTTTATCATCCATAAATTCAAACAGAGTGTTCCTTGTAATTACTAGCAGACTTTTTTTCTTCTTCTTTTAAGAGATGGATCTCAGTATGTTGCCCAGGCTGGAATCAAACTCCTGGGCTCAAGTGATCCTTTTGCCTCAGCCTCCTGGGTAGCTGAAACTACAGAAGCACACAGTCGAACCTGGGTTTCTAGTAGAGGGTTTTTTGTTAAAAAAAAAAAAAAAATTAAAGCAGAAATCATGAGTCAAAACAATGCTTCCTCTAAGCACAGAAAAGAAAACCATGAATCAAAATTTGCAACCCATGATAATAGCTTCTATATACCCTTTTAATTCCAGTAAGAAAAGCTTTCCTGTACTAGAAAGCCAGGATTCGACCAATAACATAAACATCACCTGACAGCTTACAGTAGGTCCCTCCTCACCACCATTATCCATGTTTCACTTTCTGTGGCTTCAGTTACCCAAGTACACTACAATAAGATATTTTAACAGAGACAGACTACATTCATATAACTTTTATTACAGTATATTGTTATAATTGTTCCATTATTATTATCTTACTGTGTCTAGTTTATAAATAAATCTTTATTGTATGTAGATGTGTATGCATAAGAAAAAACATAGTGTAGTATACATAGAGCTTAATATTATCCACAGTTTCAGGCATCCACCAGGGGTCTTGGAACATATATCCCAGTGGATAAGGGGGACTACTGTATTTCAAAATGCAGTCTTCCCCGACCAACAACCCCTGCCCCATGACAACCCCTCAAACATACAGAGGGCAGCGGAGCTCAGGAATTTGCTTTAACGAGCATTTTCAGTGATTCATATACAAGCTAAAGTTTGAGAAGCAGCAGCCAACACACCAGTATCTGGGTCAACGGCTACTCTCAGATACAAGGTAACTGTCCCCAGCACAACATTAATGTATAGGAAAATATATATACATATATAGTCTGGCTAGCTATAATCCCCAGAAAATATCCACAGATTTCTAACAGTCATTTCTTCAACCTGGGAGTAGTTTACAAATTTAAGACGGTATCACAAAAATAAAGTTTTGTTAGAAGAGTATATTGGGAAGTTGGGAAGCCCTGAAATTATATGCAAAAACTTGTATACATAACTATATTTCCTCAGATAAATGAATCCAAGATTCCTACAAAATGTGCACCAAAATAAGTTATTTTTAAATAAGACTTAAAAGCTTGTTAATCTTTCTATTCAAACAAGCAGACTATTTTTGGTTTATTTAGCTATTAAATATAAGAGAAGAGAAAATATTACATTAATAGGGTCTTTTTGATAGCTTCTACATTTGTCTACAACTTATACCATATCATAATGTTGGTAATTTTAAATTTTTAGTTGCCTGAATTCTGTTTTAGAGTTTCTCATCTATAAAAAGGGATTCCTACCACCTCTTTCATTTATCTGTACTTAATTCCATACTTAAAGATTTGTGTATCAAAGGAAGGGAAAAGTGAATTCACAGCTCACAAATAAAAAGGGAAAAAAATACTATCCTTCTTCCTATTAGCTCTCCATAAAGGTAATGGCAATATAGAAATAAATCTAAGAAAAGTTTTATATTACGATATAGTAAAAATATAATGTTAAAACCTAATTTTTAAAAATCCCCTACTTGGTTAGCTGACAGTATATAATTTTCAAAACTCATTAAGCTATTCTCTAATAGGTGAATTTTATTGTGTATTAATTATACCTCAAGAAAACTAAGGACAAAAACCTCCTTCAACCATTATTTTCTTCATAATCTTGAATCCATATAAGTAACAACTTTACTTTCTAAGAAACACAAAAGGAACAATTTTCTTAGCAATTTTAAGACACTAGAATAGAGGCTGATAATACAATAACAAAGGCAAGTTGCCTGCCCTAGAGTTTTTGGTTGCTTGGGGGAAGCATTTGCGGGAGAGAGGGAGTGGCACAGAATGAATGCCCAAAGTAGTTAGGAATTTGGTATGGAAAGGTGTTATATTTTCCAGAAATTCTGAACTTCATCCTATCAATGTTAGGAAGTCAAAGGATTTTAGGCCAAAGAATGACCTGCCCAGATTTGCCTACAGCAAAAGAAAGGATGAACTAGATAAAAGGGGGAAAACTGTAGGCAGAAGACAAGTTATGATGTTATCATAATAGTCCAACTAGTCCTATGATTATCACTTAGTGTCAATAAATTTATGTAAAATTTATAATGAAGTCAAGCAGATCTTTTAAAAATTCAGTACTCTGTCTTACCTAATGTATAAGAAACAAACTTTTATACTAGCTTTCCTTTTCCTTGGCAATTTTTTAAATCATCCCTCAAAGCCTAAGTGAAATTTACAGAAAATCTTCCTTTTTCTTGTTTAAAGATTTCATACTTATCTCCTCTGTACTCTCATACTCATTTGTTTATCACATTAATCTAGGTAAATTTATCTCCCCTAAATTGAGAAAATTACAATCAAGGACTACCCTCAATCCTAATAATGACAAGTTAGAAATTATAGCTATCATTACTTAAATATCTCTTAAGTGCAAATTGTTATTAAGCACTTGAATACATTTTTTCTAATAATCACAGTAACGTAACTTTATTTTCAAGAAAAGCAATCTTGAGAGTCAGATTAAGTAACCTGTTCAAAGTTCCACACATATACAGTGAAGCTTGGATTCAAATCCAGACTTGTTTGATTGTTCACCACCAGGTTGCCATACTTCTTAGCAAATTGTAATAAATACGTTCCTAGTAGGTACATAATGAAATAAATGAACCTGGCTGAAATAAAACTCTGCTACAAAAAAAGAGATACTGGTTACTTATGTTAACTTTATCCTCTTTTATGTAAAGAAAAATGCTCCTTATACATCATTTTGAGAAATAATAGCAATATTATAGAGCAGTTTCTATGCATTTTTTCAGATAATTTCTATTACTACGTAAAAGCTATAAGTAAATAAGGTGCAATAATTTAAACAACTGAACATAAATAATGCTGCTTAAAAAAGTTACTTAAAAATTACACATTTAATGATGTTTTTCTTTGAAAGGATCTTACTTCAACAATACTCCGACTGCTTCAAGATTTTTGAATATCTTCTTTTCAGATTTTATTTAGGACCTTTTATAATTACAACAAATAATAACTATCACCTGCAGTTTGTAATGCACTAGGTAATATGATGAATACAAAGACCACTTCTTCTCAAGGAGATAAGGCAGACACAAATAAATATAATAAAAGGCAAAATAGGGCTGGGCATGGTGGCTGACACCTATAATCCCAGCAGTTTTAGAGGCCGAGGCAGGTGGATCACCCGAGGCCAAGAGTTCGAGACCAACCTGGACAACATGGTGAAACCCTGTCTCTACTAAAATTATAAAAATTAGCTGGGTGTGTTGGCGGGCACCTGTAATCCCAGCCACTCAGCAGGCTGAGGGAGGAGAATTGTTTGAACCTCAGAGGATCTAGCCACTGCACTTAAGCCTGGGTGACAGGGCAAGACTCTGTCTCAAAAAAAAATGCAAAATAGATGAATAGTACACAATTCAAAGAAAGTAATGGTTGTGGTGATCAGACATTTGAAAAGGTAAACTGAGAGGAAAGAACAAGGCATTCTGGGAACTCACAAGGAATACAGAAAGGTCACTGCAGAAAACAAACATGGGGCTGGGCACAGTGGAGGGTTCAGCTATCATCATTGCACTTTAGGAAGCTAGAGGGAGCAGATCGCTTGAGCCCAGAAGCCCGAGACCAGCCTAGGCAACACAGAAAAACCCCATCTCTACAAAAAATTATCTGAGTATGGTAGTGCATGCCTGTGAGTGCCAGCCACTCAAGATGCTGAAGTGGGGGGATCACCTGAGCCCAGAGGGTTGAGACTGCAGTGAACTGTGATAGAGCCACTGCACTCCAGCCTGGGTTGGAGTGAGACCCTTTCTCAAAAAAGAAAAAAAAGAAAGAATATGAATATGGAAGAATCTATACTCTGTGAAAGATTAACCAACTTACAGGGGTGGATTGGGGCAGGTGTGAGATCAGAAGCAAAAAGATCAATTGAGAGGCTACAGTGTTAGTATGGGAATTAAAGGTTCTAGTGCTTTGGAGAAAATGAGGCTTCTGTATATATAGACCTCAGGCTTATATTAAAGGAATTAAAGGTTCTAGTGCTTTGGAGAAAATGAGGCTTCTATATATATAGACCTCAAGAATCAACACTACAAAGAAGAGTTCACCGTTCAGGGGGATGCACCTAACGCAATGAGTGAAGCAAGGGTGCTGCTGAAGTTGAGAAAAAGACCTATCAAACCCTAAAAAGAGTGGCAATGGAAGCTTTTAGTTCCATATGACACTAACACTAAGAGCTATGTGTGATGACAATTAACAAGAATTTCTTGTATATTGCAAAATAATTAGAAGAGTATATTTTGAATGTTCCCAACACAAAGAAATGATAAACGTAGCTGGGCATAGTGGCACACCTATATAGCTACTCAGGATGCTAACACAGGAGGATCACTTGAGCCCAGGAGTTTGAGTAAGCTTTGATTGCACCACCTAACACTCTGGAGTGACAATGAGACCCCTTTGAAAAGAAAAGAAAAGAGAAAAGAAAAGAAGGAAAGAAGGAAGGAAAGAAAGAAGGAAAGAGAGAGAGAAAGAGAAAGAGAAGAAGGAAGGAAGGAAGGAAGGAAGGAAGGAAGGAAGGAAGGAAGGAA